TCCCCGAAAAGGCCTCCCCCCGGGGCGCCTTTAACCCCCGGCCGGGGGGGCCGGGGGGGGGGGGGGAGAACACACACGACAGCAGAAGACCCTCCTGCCGCGCGCCGCATCCGCTCACCGAGTGTTCCGCCAGCCTCCGATACCACCGCATCCCCTGGGGAGGCCGACGCTTGACTATTGTAAAACTTTCACACTCTTTGGCGCTTTTAACAGACAGCCAAGGTTTCTGTAAAGTAACCTCACCCGCCATCAACGCCGGGGAGCGACTCCTCCCGCCACCCACCGGCAGCGACCGCCCTCCCCTCGCCGTGTTTTGGAGGCAGCACCCAATGGGGCTGCGGCCACGTTGTTTCCAAACACGGCAGCTCCCACTCGCTGCACGCTCCCCGCCTCCGCCTCCCAGCTGCGGGAGGAGGAGAGTCCGCCGCGGGGAAGGGAGTTCCTCTACAAGGGACGGGAGCCAATAGGGCTGCCAGTGGGAGGCGGAGGGAGTTCAGGGGCTCGGAGGCGGACGGCCGGGCTTTGCTCCTCCTCACTGCCGCGCACCTTGCAGATGTGCCCCGGGTGGGCCCCAGCACAGAACGGAAAACCGCAGTTGACCTGTTTTTCCGGAGCCCCCATAGCATCTCTGCAAGGAGGCAGCCGCAGCTTAACAGCGGCCCTGGCCGGGCTGGGGCACCCGGGCCTGCCGCGGCCGCCGCGGTACCTCCCTCAGCGCAGCGGGCGTTAGCCCCACCGAACATCCCGGCAACGGCCCCTGCACTTTGTCCCCGCGCGCCTGCCAAGCCCAGGGCAGGAGAAGCAGGCCTGCCTGGCCAGCCCGCCCCGCGCCCCAGGGCTGGACTGGGCTGCTCACAGGTCCTCCTCCTGCTGGGCCGGAGCGAGCCGCCGGGCGGAATCCTCGCTCCCCCTCACCAAATATGGCGCCCACACCGCCGGAAGCCGCACCGGTTGGACGCTCCACTACTCCCATGATGCCCCGCGGCGGCGGCCATTCAAATTCCAGCCGGCCGCCTTCCGCTGGCCAGAAAATGGCGGCTCCTGGCGTTGCAGTGGTTCCTGTTTCTGCCCGAGCAACCTCTCCCACGTCCCCGCTCCTTATAGCTGAGGCGCCACTGGCCCTAGATCGTGGTGGCGGGATGAGGCCCCGGCGGAGCGGGCCGGTGGTGGCCTGCCCCTCGGTGTCCGTTGTGTTCCCGGGCGCTGTGAGCCGGGAGAGCTGCTGCCGCTTCGCCTGCGAGCTCCTCAAGCACGTCCTGTACCAGCGGCACCAGCTCCCGCTGCCCTACGAGCAGCTCGCCTATTTCTGCCGGCGGGCGGCGCAGGTGAGGGGGCCGTGGGGGCCCGGGGTGGGGGGGAGGCGGCCGACAGGGACCCCTGGGGCCAGGGGCGGCCGTGGTGCAGAGACTGCGGCATTTGAGTTTTGCCTCTTGGCTAGCTATTCTACCTCAGTAAATCATATTTTAATATGTCAACTGCTTCTAAAGGAAAGCTCTCCTTGTAGCTGTATCCTTAAATGTTGCCACAACTTCATTTAAAAAAAAAACCAAAGCTTTAGGTTAGGTGGTTAAAGGTCTCAACAAGTTACTGTTTATCTTTTGTTGTCCCAGTTTCTCCTCAAAGCATGTTACTGTTTTGTTGCTCAAACCACTTGAAGAAAAGTTTTTTTGTTTTTTTTAATCTTAAGTGATTTTGAAGTGATAGCTGATCTTTAAAATACAGGGTTTCTAATTCTTGTGGGAATTCATCAGTAGTGTAATTCAGATTCAAACTGAGCAGCTATAAAGCAGCCCTGTGTGTTCCTTTTAGATGTTCTGATTCTATATGTAGGTAGCTATAGCTCTTAAAAGGAGCATAAAACCCTCTGAACCTTCCTTGACTTT